TTACCCTTTATTGTGTACGCATTTGGGTCCTGTCAAACCTCCAACCCCACTGAGACACAAAGAGAGGTTTTACAAATAGGTCACGGGATTCCTCTTTTAACATACGGCAGCAATGTTGGTTCATAATCATATGGAAATTTTATTTTAAGAACAGATTGTGGCAGTGTGATGTGAACATAATGTATTTTGATCATCTGCACACAGGATTCAACATGTCTTAGAGATGCTTTAATTTATACAATGCATCTCAGAACTAAACAGTTGGAAGCCCTGCAGCCATTTTTACTATAATCCCTCATCTACTAAAAGGAGGACAGTCTTGTCTGAGAAACCTTCTAATACTGTTTGACTTCTCTGTTTGAAGCTTAACAGATAGATAAAGAATATTTTAAAAATAATGGAATACAATTTGTCTTGAAACAGTTAGGAGGAGCTGAAACACTACAAAAAAAATCACAAATTTGTTTCTTAAAATCTTTTATGTCAATTAGTTTTAGCAACATTTCTTTAGCCTTTCCCTCTCATTATTTCTAGGGTATGTGGCCAAAAACAGACAGAAGGCCAGAAATCAGGACACAAGGACATAGCTTGCAAAAACAACTGTCCAAATCAATTCAGCAGATGAAATCATGTTATTTAATCATTAATTGATTACATTAAAACAGAGAAGTTAGTAACAACTATTAACACTCCAAATTATAAGTGTTACAGAATACAGCAAATGCTACATTTTGATAATGATTTATTTTTGCTAAAACCTTATATAATTTTTGAATGGATGTTATTCTCATGTAAGATTGCAAGTAACATTCCACGCCTTAACCGTTGACAGTGGAACTGATGGTTATGTGGAAACATTTCCACATATGGTTATGTGGAAATGTTTCCACATAACCATCAGTTCCACCATATGTTTATGGAAAATTTAGTGAAACTACAGTTAAAAAAAAAAAAAAAAAGAAACTACAGTAAAGGATGAGTCAAACTCATTGCGCAGTAGAAATGGAAAACATTGGGGCAGCCAACAGTTTTGAGTGCATAGTTAGAGATTCATTTCTTTAAAAAGCCTGAAGAAGCTGCAAATAATTATTTTAAAAACCAAAAAAATCAGAAAAACAAAGCAGATATAAAACATAACGTCCTTGGCAGAGGTAATAATTCAAACAATGGTACAGGCACAAAACTTTCTACTTGATATAACATTAAAATAAGTGGACATTTTTATTTTCTGGAGAGGTTTTTACAAATAGGTCATGAGAATTTCTCTTTTAATATATGACAATCATGTTGGTTCATTATCATATGGAATTTTTATTTTAATAACAGATTGTGGCAGTCTGATGTGAACGTAATGTATTTTGAGGGAAGGCCACATTGAGTCTGTTCATACATACGCATATGCTTAACGTATGTTCTTTCTTAAGAAATGCACCATTGTAAAACCAGATTTGTACACAATATGTTGATCATCTGCACACAGGATTCAACATGTCTTAGATATGTTTTGATTCATACAATGCAACTTTGAAGTAAAGAGTTGGAAGCCCTGAAGCCGTCTTCATTATCATCCCTCATCTACTTAAGGGACGACAGTCTAATCTTTCAAAGCTTCTAATACTGGATGACTTTCCTGTTTTAAGCTTAACAGATAGACAATGAAAAATATTTTGAAAATAATGCAGTATAATTGATCTTGAAACAGGAGAATTTGAAATATTCTCTAAAAAAAT